ATTTTTTTTTTTTTTTTTTTAAATTCGAAAATTACGTCTGCCATACAATTTTATGGTAATGTAAAAGTATATAATATGTCGTAACTACAAATACGTATAATGTATATATATGAATGCGGAAGAGAAAAGAAAAAGGATATTGACTCACCGTCCATCTGAACGTAAAGTGTAGCTGTAGGGTGACGGGCTCGGTGAGGGTGAATGTGTTCTGGCCGAGGGCGTGACTAGATACGTTGCCAAAGCTGCACGAGCCGATGGCCGTGACGTTGGACTGGTACTCCTTGAGGCAGAGCCAGAAGGCGGTGGTGCAGGGGGTCGAGCAGGGCTGATGGTGCTGTTGCTGCTGCTGCGGGTGGTGGTGGTGGTGCTGCTGTAGCAACAGCAGTTGACTGCCACCGGATATGCTCCTGCCCCCGCCGCAGCATCGCCCGTCCACTAGGGTGCCCCGGTTGTTCGTCAGCGAGAGGATCTGCACCTCGAAGAATCCGCTACCGGTTGTCGCCTGCAATCACGCACGCACGCACACACATAGGGGAATGCAAAAAAAAAAAAGAAAAAAAAGAAAATAAAAAAAAAGAAAAAAAAGCCAAGAGGAGTGAGAGAGCACCGCCGATGGGGCCCGTGATACTCGTAATATTTCGACGAAGCGCGTTGGAACTCGGACACGGGGCCGTAAATCCTGCGGACCTGTATTATATGGTGTCGACGAACGCGCTAATGAGAATCGTCGCTCTGGGCCTTTCGGCCACGTAGGAGAGATCACGGGCCGAAGGGGGGGAAATGGGATTTGGGCACCTCTGCCTTTTTTTGTCCTCTCTTATCCTTAGAAATCTTTGTACGATATACATTGAACGCTTGTAATTTTGTTTCCAAGGTATGAAAAATGATTGCACAACAATGAAAAAAGAAAAACTTGGTGAAAGCGGAAAAAAAGCGTGCTTCGTTCGTAGGGATAAAACATGAAACGTTCAAGGGAAAGGTAAACAGAGAGCACCATCGTTTTACCGTTTTAAAATGAAACACTGGCTTTTCGGTTACCCTCAATATTATAATATACGCACACGGTCACCAATCCTGAGGAAGATTAATCGTAGCCGCGTTCAAAGCCCATTATACACATACGCGTGGACCATCCAAGGAAGAGATGACAGCAGAATAGAGAGAGAGAAAAAAAAAGAAGAAGGGGGGATTTGGGAGATCGAGATCTTGGGCCGCAGGCGATACGTATGGATAAATATATACACACACGGGAGGAGAGTGAAAGATAAAACTCCTTTCTCGGTGCCATCGTACAGAGGATGGGGACGGTGTGATGTATATATATGATGGGGAACCGCAACGACGCCCTGTACCCATGGCCTATTAGCCACGATTTTGTATGTTTCGGAAGGATTTTTAAGACGCGGCTGTTGCACAATACCCATACTCTTTCTTTCGTGTGTAAGCCCCTCCGCCATTGATACACGAGTCCTAACGGCACACAAAAACTGCACCTATATACTATGTCTATTGTACACACAAGTCACGTGTATACGAATATTCAAGGAGCCCAAAGTTTTTGCTCGACTTTTCGAGCGTGTGAAAAAAAAAAAAAAAAAGAAAAAAACAGCGATACCCATCCATCCCGAGATCTATCCGTCCATTAGGTACACATACGCGCACTTTTTTTTATCGCAATGGCACATACCTCTCTCTGTACAAACACAAGCCGTGCATGGGAACGTCTGGGCCCGGGACGTGAAATCAGTGCTAATTTTCGCCGTCTGCGATAGATAACAGATTATCGTATACCTATATGCGCGTACACCTCATAATGAATAAAGAAATAAGCCATCAGTGGTGGAAGAAGAGAATTTTCGGCACCGGCCGTGGTCCCGTTCTAAGTGACGAAACAACACAGACGCCTCTCTCGCACGCACTGTTAGAACGCGAGGCATAACTCGACCATTCAATATTTCGCGAGCAAACAAAGTTTTTACTCGGGTGAGTACACACGCGCGCGTACCTACATACGATGCGGGCAGCATCCGTACGTATACATGGTATACGGGTACCTGGAGAGGAGCAAAGGAGGAAGAAAAAAAAATAGGGGGGGGGAGGGAAGGAACTGCCAGATAAATCGGGGCGAAGCGAGAAGCCGTGTACGCGAGATAGCGCGAGACATCGCATCCGGGCGTTTATCGGGAGGCCCTCCTCTCTCGCGCTCCTGTACGCCTTTTTTTTCCCTATCCCCTGTTTGCCTTCCATAAACTCGATCTTTTTCTTTTATCATCTTTTTTTTTTTTTTTTCCTTTTTTTTTTTTTTTTCGTTACGTGTGTACTCTCGGGCTGTACCCATCAGCCACTGGCATATTCATACGCGTGTAATAATTGAATTAGGATGCGCCCTGTACTTCTCGTGTGAACGCTCCAAAGGAGAAGAAACTCTCGGGTGATCTTAATTTTCCCTCTTTTTTTTTCATCTTCTCAAGAGAGAGAGAAGAGCACTTTTCAAGGGGAAGGGGAGGGAAAAGTTCACCCTTTCATGGGAAGACGACGAGCCACTCGAGTGCAGGACCGAGCGACGAATTATGAAACACATTACAAACACACCGACTAGCGAGCACGTGCTCGCCCAAATACCGCCTACCGTGTGTGGACCTCTTGTGGGGCTCTAGTGTGTGCTCTCGTGTGTTAATGCGTTTACGTATACTCTTGCACACGTGCACACAGGAGAGGACCCCTTGACATTCGTTTCCTTTTTTTTCTTCTCTCTCTCTCTCTCTCTCTCCGTGCTGGATGTAAGTATACCGTTCGTCCTCGAATGCAGACTGCATTTACGGCATAAGGTGAGCTTTCGTGGCTCAAAGTTTTTTTACTTTGGCTCGGTGGATAAATTTTTTGTGGTGATTTTTCGTATCGAGTTTCGTACGGGCAAGCGTACAGATTGTCGTTGTGTATCCCCCACGCGACAGCGTTCGAGGGCCCAAACGAGCCGGGATTTCTCAAATTTTGCGCGAAGCCTCGAGAGCCCTCGTGAGAAGCGGCGAGTGTTTGGCGACCAAATATACACGCGCCTCGAAGCCCACGCGCGACGAGAGTTTTCAAAATGCTACGTACCGGCAAGTGGAACTTGAGACTTGGTCGGCGCTGATGACGAGGGGACAACTGTAAATTACCGCGCGAGTTGTTGATTTTTATCGTCCGCGGGTCTTCGAGACTCGTGTTTTTTTACAATTTATCGAAACCCCGCTTTCTCTCTTCTCCTTTGGTTATTTGATACTGTTTGCTTTTTGTGTATTTCTTCTTCTTTTTTTTTTTTTTTTTTTTAAATTCGAAAATTACGTCTGCCATACAATTTTATGGTAATGTAAAAGTATATAATATGTCGTAACTACAAATACGTATAATGTATATATATGAATGCGGAAGAGAAAAGAAAAAGGATATTGACTCACCGTCCATCTGAACGTAAAGTGTAGCTGTAGGGTGACGGGCTCGGTGAGGGTGAATGTGTTCTGGCCGAGGGCGTGACTAGATACGTTGCCAAAGCTGCACGAGCCGATGGCCGTGACGTTGGACTGGTACTCCTTGAGGCAGAGCCAGAAGGCGGTGGTGCAGGGGGTCGAGCAGGGCTGATGGTGCTGTTGCTGCTGCTGCGGGTGGTGGTGGTGGTGCTGCTGTAGCAACAGCAGTTGACTGCCACCGGATATGCTCCTGCCCCCGCCGCAGCATCGCCCGTCCACTAGGGTGCCCCGGTTGTTCGTCAGCGAGAGGATCTGCACCTCGAAGAATCCGCTACCGGTTGTCGCCTGCAATCACGCACGCACACACCCATCGTTACGTTCATTTCATCCATTTTTTTTTTTTTTTAATTTTTATTTATTTTTATTTACAAGTGGGTTAAGGGAAATATTGTTTAATATGCAAACAAGTCGAGGAGTATAAATTGTTTTTCGATGACGAGTCGAGACATACGTGGGCACGCAGAGTTGCTATACGTGTGCATTGGCATATGTACGTGCATCAATAATCACTATTAGTCAGACTATATCCGACGAGCCTTGGGTTCTCATACTACGTCATCGCATTTATTGCGCCACCAAGGACTACCTACTTACGTTATGTTTTGAAAAATTACCTCAATTTTCATCATTGAATTTTTTATCTCGGGATCACAATGACATTTGTATCTGTACTCTGATTGTCTTTTTTATTAACGGGCTCGTATAGCGGTAACAAAAGTTGTCGAACATCAGTGCTTAAAAAGCCATTGGTTCTTTTCGCACTGTTTGTATATGGGTTTGTTACGGAGAACACGTGAGCGAGAGAATAATTTTTCCCTCGATAATATACAGCACAGCAGCACTGCATTTGCATACAATGACTCTTTATGGTTTAACGCGTAACTCTGCGTAATTGGATGAAAAAAAAAAAATATGTACTATATACCCACACACCCTTATCCGCGCCCATGTACATATTGGGGCGATCGACGGATGTTAACTTATTGGTTTGCAATTTATACGGGTGTAAATTAACAGAGCCATTGTGTCGCCAGCGCTGATTCGAGGGAGATGTATTTTTAATTTTTATTATTATTATTATTTTCATCCTAGAGTATACGTAGTGAACGTGAAAGCAACAAATCAAATCGCTCCTTAACGACGAAGCGCAGCAAATTAACGATGGAAAGTTGCGAACAAAAACTCCCAATCGTTTATCATAAAGTGGATTCGCAGACCCATGAACCACCACACGAACGGGGGGGAGGGGGGAATTAGAGATGCTGGGGTTCACCTCCGCAGAAGCAGCCCGACCTTAGTCCATAATAAAACACTGACAAATGGCACAGTTTAGCGGTCAAGCTTAGACTCATACTGGTGGTTATTTTTATAAGATAGGTAAGCACCGAGCGTGGAAAACTCGGAGACCGGAAGTATAGCAGAAGCCTCGAGTTACAGTAATGGTGCTCTCGGGGTTTGCAATCGTTGGTACCATTATACGAGCAAGCGCACGCGGACTAATAATCGAGTTTTTTTCTCTTGGCAACTAAGTCTATGTTTGTTCTTTTTTTTTTTGCTCAGTAGCAAAAGTATACGGTATTTGGCTGTAGTTCTGGTAAAATAAATTTGTAGCGATGACTTCAAAAACGTATAGGCAAAATATCAATAAAGTTGTATGTGGTCCATCATGAAATACACAAGTATCAAATGTTCTTATGTCCTTTCATATAAACGTTTTTTCATTTCACAAAACATTGCATCAACGCGCACCAAATGAAATCGAATGAAATTTAATATCTCCAATAAATAATCCATCCTGCAAAACAAGCAAGAAATCAAAATCCACACCTTCCCATACGTCACGTAATTCATTGTACATACAAACGAGAACTGAACCACCCATTTGCCAAAAACAGCGCGAACAAATGCTGAACTGGAAGCTCCGCTCCTCCATACCTCGAGCATGAAACCAAAGTTTCATCGACAAAGGCCAACCAACCAAGCAACTAAGCAACGAACAAGCATCACATCCTATCTCATCCCCCGCAGCTACAAAACCAGGGCCGCGGGCATCATTAGAAAAAACAATAAAACCCTCGCAGAACCAGCCAATACACGAGCGAACAAACGTTTCTTCGATCTCTCTCTCCCCTGATGCTTGCGTAACTGTGGCCGTTGCTGAGCCTCGATCTCTCAGGAAAATGATTTAGCCGACAATGAGAGCATAAACAAAAGAGCAAGAGAGAGGGGAACGTCTGCACTACACGTTATGTATATATAGGTACTGTTCTGCTGATGCTGGAGTACAATTATCGTCGTGCAGTCTATAGGTGCACGAGAGAGAAGCGTGGGGGTGGGGGCAAGGATACGGAGAGAAAAGGAACGAGAGGGTGTATATAATATATACCTATAGAAAGCGTCTGATGCAGCGCGGAGGATCGTCCTCTTGGCCTTTTGCTTTCCAGCCGTGGGCTATACGTACTGCACATGCACTCACACAAGGACAACGTTGCACTCTCTTTCGCTATCGCTCGGATATGTTTTTGTAGGCATATATATACACACGTCTTTGAGTTTCTGCAGCTAAGACTCTATATATATGAACGACGACTCCGTGTGGGTATATGTGTGTACTTACGTAACCCCCCCCCCCCCCCCAAGAACAACCCGAGCGAGTATACATATATAGTGTACTTACGTGTATTTATAAAGTGCACAGAGGGAGAGGGAGATGCATTTTTGGAGTATATACATGTGGAAGTGTATATGCGCATGTGAGAAGCTTCTCTCGAATGAGCGAGTGACTATCCGTGGGGTATCTTAAACGCCTATATGTACATACACGCGCAAGTGACATTTTCACTGTATGTACACTTCTCGGGTTACATCTGTCTTTCGCTTACTTCACCGCTGGCTCCACACGATTTCTTTCGTACATCCATGGGAATCACATAAAGATGCAGTTTGTCTTTTTTACTATATATACATATACATATACGAGTAAGGAGCTCATATTGTACTAGTGAAATTTCCCCCCAAAGATCTTAGATTGATATATATAAGACACGGGCAACGCGAAATAATGCACCCAAGTTTGTACATCGGATACGAGCGACTGTCCATGTTGTATACACCTGCGTCCGATACGACCGATAGCGCGCGCGAAAAATGAAGGTATATATAGCCGCAAAGTGAAAATGGCTAATTATTTATTCAATCGGCGACGGTTTTTTTATCGCCGCGCCGAGTGCAAGAAGGCGCCAACAGTTCCATAAATAATCGCACATCGGCACGCAAAGCAACACCTCTCTCTCTCTCTCTCTCTCCGTTTTTCTTTTTTTCTCTTCACACGGGTCCATCCCTCGAGCGCAACGAGACTCATCCTCTCGCGTTCACGGAAGCGTCTATACAGGTATGCACGCACGGAGCAGCGACGAGACGTCCGTACGTATATAAAGTGCTTATCGCCTGGCAGGCACGCGTCGGAGGAAGAAGACGGGCACCCCGCAGCTGCCACGTGCTCGCGTTTCCAGCGCACGTCTCCTTCGGGAGACGGAAAAGGAGGATCATCGCCGCGGCGGCTGCGGCTAATTAAACGTTATAATTAAACCGGCAAGGAGCGAGGGAGAGAGAGCGTGCATTAGAGGGAAGGAAAGAAAAGCGCAAACGGAGTGGAAACGCCGTCACGGCGCCGTTTGAGACGAGGAGGGGGAGAGAGGCGCTCCGCGGGTGCAGTAAATCATCCTTGCGCCGCACCAGCCTCCATCGATGCAGAAGAAAAGTCGCGGACGGCCTGCAGCCGGCGTCGTGTAGTCGTCACGTGGGAAGAAGTTTAATGGCGCGAGCGAGCGAGCGAGCGTGTATATCTTTTCAGAATCGTATTAATACAAGATGTTTGTAAAAGAGTTGTCATTTTATTGTTTTAATTTTAACCTTCCGTCATTCCAAGAAAATTCTTAGCTTCACGGACGTCATTTCAAGTTTCTTTTGTGTCTCAGTGTTTAAATCTGTTACTCGCTTCTATTATATCATCTACGTATAATAGAAGTATTAAATTTTTTTTGCCTATTCTGCAAATAAAGAAACATTGTTTTCAATNTATATTGCACCAAAGAAAGAGAGAGAGAGAGAGAGATACTGGTTTCGTTGCAATGGTTACGTGATTTTTTGGAGCTAATAACTACCACTAATACTCGCGGTTCGTATATAGGTTGGTACATACTGAGCGGAGCTGCACGAGCGAAAGGAAAGTTTTCGTGATAATCCTTTTGCTCGTGCATATACTCGTACAGCTGGTGCAGTGCCAATATTATATATACCTACACCCGATTATACTCTGGTGATGCTTGTCTCTCCGAGTGAAGTGCATCATACGTGCACTAAGTTTATTATGTATACCTCAGTTGTTCCTCCCCTTACAGGATGTTCCCCAATTTTTTTATCATTATTATTGTTATCGTTGTTTATTCCTATTATAATGCCACTATTGTTATTAGCACCATACAATTATAACAATTTTCATCTATTATCTCTTCCTCAATGTTTTAAGAATTCATTTGCTTTGTCATTGGTAGATCGATGAAATTATAAAGATTGATCTTACAGCGCTCTCGTGTAGTCGCACGTTCGTGGGAAAAATGTTAAGTAAATTTCCTAACTTGGCTCCGATTGTTAGAGTTACGGTGGGTTTTCATGTAATAGTATATAGATCCTGTACTAATACGATACACTTGTCACTTTTCCTCTGATAGATATAGATAGATATTTTGTTATTTAACCAACAACTCGATGCTCTATACTTGAAAAACTATATAAGTCGTTGACACAGCAATACTTGATATACTATGATTTTTTGAAAAATAGCAGTGTAAAAGCACTAAAAGCGTACATCCACTGTTTACTTGATCAAATTTTTTCAGTTGCACGGATAATTAAAAAAAAAAATTTATTACGTCATCGTAAACATATCACGTTCAAAATTAAAGTAAAGAAAAAATACGGCTTCATTGCGCAACACATTGTTATTACCTCGTGCATACCTACATAAGTATATATAACACACTTTTCGTTGTCGAAACGTAAAGAATTTCATTTATAAGAAATTATTGTACATACGTCGGCTTGTATCGTGCAGGAAAGGTATGCGATCACGTAACGCAACGTTTAGCACAAACGACGCTTCCTTCCTAAATGAGCCTGGCCCCGTATATAATATACTTATACTACAATAAAACTTTCTCCGCGTACAAACTTTGAGTTCTTGCTCGCGCTTAATTAGACTCTTAATTGAACCACGCGCCACAACA